CCCTAAACCCTAACCTCTGAACCCTAAACCCTGAACCCTAAACCCTACACCCTAAACCCTAAACCCTAAACCCTAAACCCTAAACCCTAAACCCTAAACCCTAAACCCTGAACCCTAACCTCTGAACCCTAAACCCTAAACCCTAAACCCTAAACTCCAAACCCTAAACGGGCCTCGGAGGCTCCAGCACCATCGGGGAATCCAACCTTTAAAAGACTGGGTTTAGGGTTTAGGGTTGTAGTTTTGGGGCCCTGAAAAGTACTTCTGAATAGGCACCTCTATAGAGACCATAAAGGAATTTTTAAAGTTTCCCAAATTGCCACCTAGAGGATGATGGAAGGTGGGATGATCTCCAATTCAGAGCCCTTACAGACCGGATCTAAACCCTAACCCCTAAAACCTGGAACCTAAACCCTAAAGCCTAAAACCTGAACCGTAGACCATAAACCCTGAAACCCTAAACCCAGAAACCTAAACCCGAAAGCTCCTAAACCCCACACCCTAAAGCTCCCAAGCCCAAACCTTCATTCCACTGTTCGAGGCCTTCGATAAGTTGGACGCTCCAAGATCCCGAAAAAAATCCGGTGAAGGGTTTCGGTGGGTTTTGGGTGGTTTAGGTGGTCTTGCTGTTTGTAGGTGGTTTAGGTGGTTTAGGGTTTTAGATCCCCAAAAAAATCCGGTTGAGGGTTTAGGGTTCAGTTGGTTCAGTTGGTTTAGGTGGTTAAGGGTTTAGAGTTCTGGGTGTTTAGGGTGTTTAGGGTGTTTGGGGTGTTTAGGGTTCTACGTAGTCCTAAAGCCTTAAGAACCACGAGATTCCAGTCCAGAAGCCGGGTGGGTCTGGAGAGTTCAGGGCTTAGGGGTCTAGGTTTAGGGTTTAGGGTTTAGGGTTTTAGGGTTTAGGGTTTAGGGAGACCGTAGAAATTTGAACAGGGGTCGGATAGTACAACCCTAGGAGGACTACTACCACAATGGCACACGATGACTTATACTTCAGACCCCTATACTACTGCACCTTACATCCCACGGCCTGGCCTCAACACTAAATCCCTAAAGAGCTTTGGGATTGAGTTTCGGGGATCTCACCCTAAACCCTAAACCCCTAAACCCTAACCCAAAACCCCTAAACTAACCCTAAACCCCTAAACCCTAAACCCCAAAAAGGTGATCTCCGTCTCTCAGCCGGGCACGGAAAGAGTAGCTCGACGACGGCGGCTGGGCACTGAAAGCCTGAAGTGCGCGTGTTGCCCTTGGAGTATCCCTGGTCCCTACCCTGAACTACCACAACCTACTTTTTTGCAGGTCCTTATACTATAAAAACCCTACTTTAGAATGTATAGGGACCCTACAAGAAAGTAGGTTTGGGTAGGTTAAGGTAACCCGGCTTTGATAGTTCAGCTTCGGGGCTTCATGAAAAAAGGGCCTGGAGGTTTAGGGTTTAGGGTATAAGGCCTTGGCTGGGGCATCTGGGCTTGCAGCTTTAGCCGGTTTATGATTTTCAACACAATGTGGCATGTTTGGGTTGTGCATTACAGTAGATTCCCTGCCAACTCACAGGGACGGTGGCTTGCAGCACCGATGCAAGGTATGTCCACTTTCTCCAAAATCTGCTGCCCGGCGGCAGTTCTACTTCCACCGCCGGCGTCACAGCGTCCGTCTGGCCCTGCATCACCCTCCACGTAAAGGTGTGCTGCCCCTGGCCGTCTCGCTTCTGGAATTATGTTTCGGAACTTTGTGCAAGCAACATATATATATATATATATATAGTAGAATATTTCGGGTTGTTGGTCTAAGTTACAACAGATGTACACAGCGAAACATGGTGGACCTTGCTGTTTGAGCGACAAAAGAAAGTTGCTGCATGCGGCACTGAATGTACGAGAGAACGTAGTTAGTTCGTGGCACAGCAGGTGCTAAACCATAAACCCTACACCTTAAATCCTAAATCCTAACCCCTAAATCCTAA